GTGGAAATAGTATGACTGGTACCCGTAGATCTTTGGACAGAAAAGTCTGTTCTGGATGCGGACTGGATAGGAAGATGTAATTGCATAATCGCAGCCTTTAAGTTTTCGTGTAGATCTGTAGAACTAGAAACCTTTAGCACCGGATTCGAAATACGTTGTGGGTTCAAGAAAGGATGGATTGAAGCTGAGTTTGCTGTAAGTCTTTCGTTTGGATCAGTATTGAGACAACAATCTATGAAGTCTTTAGCCTCGGCTGACACATGCAGCCAATATTCGGGTGGCTCATACATGTAATCGCCGGCAAGTATAGCGCATTTCGTTTCGTCGTCGGTTTCGCAATCAAATGGCATATAACCACATAACATAAAGTAAACAATTACCCCGACAGACCAGATATCAACGGCAAAATCATAACCTGAACCATTCAAGACTTCTGGAGCAATATAGCTGAGAGTGCCTCGAACTCCCTGCAACTTTTCCCCTGATGGGAGTATTCGAGCTAATCCAAAGTCAGCCACTAGTATATTCATGCTGTCACTCTTTCGAGACCGGAAGAGGATATTTTCTGCCTTCAAGTCATTATGGACTATGTTGTTTGCGTGCAAATAAGAAATAGCACTCATCAACGACTGCGTGATGTCCGAAGCTTGCGATTCTTCCAAGTGGCCAGACTTGGTAATTCTATCAAATAATTCACCTCCATACGCTATCTCTGTCACCAAATACAACTCGCTGGCGGTTTCAAAATGATCTATAAGTTTGAGAATGTTATCGTGGCTCATGGAGATCTTTTTTAATACAAGAAATTCATTTTGTAACATGCTTTCCAACCCATATACCAAGCTTTTCTTATACATCTTAGCAGCATAATGTTGACCCGTCAACTTATTCTTGCATTCAAAAACCCCCGAATACGTTCCATCTCCAAGTTTATGTTTCGAAAGTATATATTTACATGGCTGCTCCGTCGCGGAAGAAGTCCGTCCATTAATTTTTGTTGATTCCGTAGGAGGCCATACTTCTTGTATATGACTTCTCGGTTTATCTGTCATATTATAATCATAAAATGTCGATATCCTCTGCATGCACTGATGATCCCACTATTTCCAAATACCTATTCAATACCTATAAATCACTGATAAGGTTTAACAATATTCCAGTACGCCCCCGGAAAAATTATCTGTCGCGATATTTACACCAAACGGATTATCTTCAAGATGAGGTCACATGATCATTATGAATTAATTTTTTTCAAATTATTCTGATGAGGTACTAATTAATTGTATAGAAAGTTAGTAAATCGAGATTGAATTACAGGTATCGAAGATGGATGGTTCTAAGTTAAGCTTGGCGTCTTTGAAAGACAAGATTTCTAGCAAAATGAACTTGCTGAATAAAAGCAACGAAAAACCTAAGAAGAAGGGGAATAAGAAGCCAGACCAAAAGGAATCAGCCAAACCTAGAGAGAACAAGAGACCAGAACATAAGCCAAAGGATACGAAACCAATCTCAAAGGATCATAACAAGCCGAAACAGGACAATAATGATGAGGAAAAGACAGAAGAAGAGCTCTTAAGAGAGGAAGCATTTGCTCTTGGGGCTACTGAAGAAGACTTGGCTTTGTTGAAGGGTATTGAAGAGGGTGAAGATAGCGAGCAAGAATTCGATGGGGATTCTAAAGGTGTCGATAAAACGTTTTCTACCGATTTGTCTCAATTCATGAAAGGAATAGGGTTAGGTAAGGGAGAAGCCGTTGTCATTGACGACGTTGAAGATGTTCCAGAATTAGAGGATGAAGAGGAAGAGGAGGAAGATCAAGCAGAAGAAGAGGAAGAGGAAGAAGAAAAAGAAGAAGAGGAAGAAGAAGAAGAAGAAGAGGAGGAGGAACAAGTAAGTGAAAGTTCTTCAGACGAGTCTGAATCTGAAATTCAAGAAAAAGAAATGAACAAGAAGGAACTTGCGAATAAGTCAAAAGAAGGCGCAAAAGATAAATCAAGAAAAGATCAAGATAAAATTACTGACTTTTCATCAGTAAATAGCACCAATTTGATTGTCCCAAATAGAACTGATTGGTACAACACCCCATTGGAAAGAATCGACGAACCAGAAAAATTGGACAGATTTGGTGTTGAAAGATTGTACGAAAGGGCTAAGACTGTTATTGAAAAAGACAATAAGACCTACTTAGAAGAATTCACATCGAATAACTCTCAGAAAAAGTTCTTGTCGCAAATTTTGGCGGATGGTACATTAAATGATAAAATTTCGGCTTTAACATTATTAATTCAGGAAGCCCCATTGCATAATATGAAAGCTTTTGATACTTTATTGGGTTATTGTAGTAAAAAATCACGTACTGCTGCTTTGCAATCCATTAATGCCTTGAAGGATTTATTATTGAATGGTGTCTTGCCTGATAGAAAATTGGTTGCATTTAACAAGCAACCTTTGACCAAGAATTTATCAGATGTCCAATTAGCAATTTATTATTTTGAAGACTACTTAAAGAAATCTTATTTCAAATTAATTTCTACTCTAGAAGTTTTGTCTCATGATCCTATTATACATGTGAGAATGAATGTCGTAAGTCATTTATTTGACTTAATTAAAGCAAAGCCGGAACAAGAAGCTAATTTGTTGAGGTTAGGTGTTAATAAACTAGGTGATATTGATAATAAGGTTTCCTCAAAAACCTCGTACCAAATCTTACAATTAGAGCAGGCACATCCAGCTATGAAAAAGGTTGTTACTGATTCAGTTGTTGATATAATTTTTAAAAGTAACAGTGATTACCACGCTCAATATTACTCTATCGTCACTCTTAATCAAACGATTTTAACTAGACGTGAAGATGATTTAGCTAATACTTTAATTAAGACCTATTTTGCTTTATTCGAGAAAATCTTAGTTGAAACTGATCATAATAATGCTGAAACTAATAAGGATGATAAAGCTCTTGGTAAATCCGAAAACGGTAGAAAGAATAACCGTAAGAACTTCAAGAAAGGTAAGAAAGGTGGGAAATCAGTAAAGAATCAAGAGAAGTCTGAAAACGAAATAATTGAAGATAAGAATACAAGATTATTCTCAGCTTTGTTAACTGGTTTAAATCGTGCATTCCCATTTTCAAACTTACCAAATGAAACATATCAAAAGCATTTAGATACCTTATTCAAGATTACCCATTCGTCAAATTTCAATACGTCAATTCAAGCATTAGTCTTGGTTAACCACATTATAACTAGTCAAAAGTTGGATTCGGATAGATACTACCGTACATTATATGAATCCTTATTGGATCCACGTTTAGTCACAACGTCGAAGCAAGGTATTTACTTGAACTTGTTATATAAGTCTTTGAAGAACGATACTGAAAATATTCCAAGAGTCTTAGCATTTGTGAAGAGAATTTTACAGATTTGTTCCCATTGGTTACACGTTGGTGCTATTACCGGTATGTTATTTTTGTTAATGCAATTATCTAAAACTTATCCACAAATACAGGATTTATCCATTGATGTTGCATCGAGACCAGATGAAGAAGGTAACGAAAATGAGGTGGCCAATGCTAAAGACTCTGTTTACGATAGTCGTAAACGTGATCCTAAATTTGCAAATGCTGATAAATCATCATTATGGGAAATAGGTCAATTTTTGACTCATTATCATCCAACTGTTGCCATCTATGCTGCATCCCTCTTGGACGGAAACGATCAACCAAAGCCAGATTTAGGTTTATTCACATTGTCCCATTTCTTGGACAGATTCGTCTACAGAAATTCGAAGCTGAAGCCAATGACTAAAGGTTCATCTATTATGCAACCTTTAGGTGGTGCACATACTGGTTCGTTGTTGGTTAAAGCCACCAATGTTGCAAACACCGATATTCCAGCAAATACTGAAAATTGGTTGAATAAAAAGGTCGACAACATCCAACCCGATGAGAAGTTCTTCCATCAGTACTTTACTACCAAAGTCAGTAAGTTGAAAAACAAGGAATCCAAGAAGCAAGCAGAAGAGGAAGTTGAAAACGAAGAGGAAGCAGAGGCAATGGAAGACGATGAAATCTGGAAAGCCTTGGTCAAGTCTAGACCAGAAGTCGAAGATGCCTCCGACGAAGATGACTTTTCTGATTTCGATGCTGATGACTTCTCTGACATGAGTGACGATGAAACAGCCGAAGTTGAAGGTGAAGATAAGGCTCCGGAAGATGAAGAGGAAGAAATAGAAGAACAACCTCAAACGGCTGCAGCTGACGAATCAGATGATTATGAAGAAAGCGAAATGTTTGCTATAAATGGCGAGGACGAATACGACAGTGATGAAGCACCCAAAATGTTGGGCGAAGACGATTTGTCGTCCGGAGAATCAGAACCAGAAGCAGACCAAGACTCCAAGAAGCGTAAAGCCTCCGACGAAAACAGTGCCAAATCAAAGAGATCCAAACTTAAAAGTTTACCTATTTTCGCCTCTGCCGACGACTACTCTCAATATTTGGACTCTGAAGATGAAGATTATTCTTGATCCGCCTCCCGTTTTATCTTTCTATACACTTCTATATTCACCTGTCAAACCTAAATATCCGTGGATATTTGGTTTGCGTTTTTTAGATTATTTTTAATGCATATTATTTCTTGAATCCTCAACCTGTAAGCAGACTGATGATCACTTGCCGAATCTATATGCGGCATCATACTATTATGAGACATGAAAAATTTTCGGCTATTTTTTAAGGAAATGTGCCTCTGTATTATAGCCCATCGCGAAAGTTTTTGTACATGAAAAATTCTTTTAACGGTCACTTTGCATGAAATCTAGAGCATCGCGCCCGCTTAAAAGTTAAAATTTTATTATCCGAAAACCAGTTTAATTTGATTTAAGTTCTGAATCCCTCCTTTTTTTGCAAGAAAATACTTTCATACGATCGTAACTAAAGCTACTGTAAAATAGCAAAAGACCTAGTTAGTTTTAAGTGAAAAGGATTTAGTCATTCAATAAAGATGTCTACTGTTAAGGACAGTTTGGATGTATTGAATCGAAATTATGATATATGTATAATAGGAGAAGGGAACGTCGGAATATCTTCATTTTTGTATTCATATATTTACAAAGCATACATTGAAGATACTGCTTTAGAAATTGAGGAATTGTTCACGAAAACAGTTTGGAGAGGATCCCGGTCTTATGATATCTCGATATTGGGAGGATCAGCAACTCAGGAGTACTACCTGAGCAGCAGAAAACAGCAAATCCGAAATACGACGGCGTTTATATTTGCTTATAGCGTAGCAGATAGACAGTCGTTTGCAGAGCTTGAGGATTTATTCGAAAGGACGATGTTCGTACGAGGCGATGTACCACCTTTCAGTATTGTTGGTTTGAGGTCAGATATGGATGCCGAGAGACAGGTAACATATGAGGAAGGATACAGTTTGTGCAAGCAATTAGGAGGGATTCATTTTCAAGAGTGCAGTGCCAAGGATGATGTTGGTATTGCAGAGGCATTCGATCCAATAATAGATGCTGTCTTGTCGATTAAATATGATAAATCCAACAAGAGAAAGGGCTCAATGACAAACAAGCGAGCTACATCAAAGACTGCATCAAAAGCAAAGGCCGGAGCAATTTCGAAGGCTGCTGTGAAATTGGGCAAAACAGCGGATAATGAATCTCGGAATGAGAAGAAAACTGAGGAAAATGAATCACGACAATTAAACCAACCATTATCAACTAGCACATCCCTGGTAAGTAGAAGTAAGAATTATAGTCTGCTTGAATCCAAGAGTCAAAAGCAAGGTTGTTGCACTATTATGTGAATTGTTGGTACGGTTCATGCAAGAGATCCTAGCGTGAACATTTGCATAGAATAGCATAGAATAGCATAAAATAGATTTCAAAAGAATCAATGGAAGCATAGCTTATACAAGGCGTTAAATTATTAGAATATTAATAGACATCTGCAAATCATATATATAACTAGATAAGTAGTTGTACTAAACTGTAGGAAACATTACCGTAGCACTCTCCCACCGTGAAAACATTAATCTATCTAAACATGTTAGATGGCGGCATCATCTGAAATGTGCGAAAAACCACGGAATTGCTCTTGCATTTCAGATGTAAGAACAGTCTCCACTGGTGTTAATCTTGGGGTTTCAGAAGTGAATTCTTGGTCAAAGTTCGAATAATCATGTTCAGACGAAACTTCAGGCAAATATGGTGCTTGAATACGACAATTCAATATATCATCAAAATTGACATCTTGGAAATATGGATGTTCCATGATTTCTTCTGCATCTCTTTCACCACTACCAAGACGGTTAGCAGGATCTTTTGTTAATAAGGCCTGTAATACCAATACAGTTTGACGTGGCATACTAATTGGGTATTTCACATCATCGTGTTCAATCGCATTGAAAACTTCATCATCATCGTCACCCTTAAATGGCGATTGGCATAACAACATTTGGAATAATAAGACACCAAATGCCCACCAATCAACGCTTCTTTCATATTGTTTTCCTGCAATAATTTCAGGTGCCATAAATACAGGAGTACCACAGAAAGTACCAGTCGTACTTTTATGCCACATATTCTCTTTACATAAACCATAGTCAGCAATCTTTATATGTCCTTTTGTAGTCAATAAGATATTATCCAATTTTAAATCACGATAGACAATACCGTTGTCATGGAAATACTTTAAAGCTAACAAGACTTCACAGGCATAAAACTTGGCCCTCTTTGCAGAGAAACGAGATTTTTGAATATGCCACATTAAGTCACCACCTGAAATATATTCCATAACAAAATATATACGGTTTTCAGTTTGGAAACAACAATGCAAATTCAATAAAAATGGATGCATTTCTTTATTAGCTGTTAAAAATACTCTCTTTTCAGATGTGACACTATCAGCTTCGTCATTCTCAACAATAAAATCCTTCTTTAAGACTTTAATAGCACATAAATTCTGTGTATGTCTTGACTCAGCTAACATGACCTTACCAAAATTACCTTTACCGAGAACCGCAAGGAATTGAAAGTCGTCCAAGCCGATCTTTCTTCTACGACGCTTTGGTTTGTGTGGTATTGCTCCTTTTGATTGGGTTATTTCAGACTTTTGTGGAGTTTGATAATCTACCTGAGGTTCTTTATATTCTTGCTTTTGAGGAATCTCTGGCACCATAATCTCGTTATTATTATTACTATTATTATTATAGTCAAAATTATCGAATTGGGACTTATCATTCTCGATTGGATTTGCAAATGGGTTATCAATCTGCATATCAGTTGGTTCATTAGGCTCATTTGATTCCTTTGTTCCTCTAGACTCTGGAATGCCTAAATGGCCATGTTTCATTTCTTCTGATTTAGAGGACATGAAAGTGTAGTCATGGTCATATGATTCTGATTGTTCTTGGTCTAAGTCATTACTAGATTCCTTTGATAGATCATTTGGCGGTGGACGTCTACCAGTTGGTTTATATTGCGATTCTATTGGTTTTTGGAATTGATTCTTAGTTTCAGTAGGTAATCTTGAGGCGTAATCTTTCTCTTGTTCATCATCGGAAATATTCTGTAAAGTATCTGATTTAGAGTCTGATGTTGAGCCTGAAAATTTAGATGCATCAGATGATGCATTCGGTTGATTAATAAGAGGAGCAGCCGGAGGAGCTGGTAATGGTTTACCAGGGGTTCTTGTTGATTTTATAGTAGTGAGAATTTTATTTGCCATTTCCATAGACATACCACAGAAGTCTGGAACCAAATGAGTACAATGAGCATGACACAGAACACCACATTCCGAACATTTACGGACATTTTTACGTCCCCATGGCAAGATATAACCACAATGGCAACACCATTTTGTACCATGATTGGTAACAGGATCAAACCTATGTGGAATGCGGTGATTTAATTTCGCCTCATCTGGATCAATATCATTACTTGATTTAGAAATACATTTTGTAACCACTTTCTGAAAACATTTTTTGTGACAAAGAAACTTACAATCTTGACATTGAAATCCAGTATAACGTAAAAACTCTCCACAAAATGCACAGCACATAATATTATAGAATTGTTTCTGAACAAACTGATGTCCATGTTGCTTGAATACTTCTTCTTTTTTCTCACGAATAGCCCCATGACGACCAAGGGCTCCCATAAATTGTCTGTTCCCAGTTTGGTTAGATTTATCTAAGCTAACGCTAACAAGAATTTGACCTACTGGCTCCAAACTTAACCAAGTATTAATTTGAACTTGCTTAGTCTCACCAGAAGCGGACGAGTCCATACTATCAGGAATATTGGAATTGTAAGTCGTAGGGTTAGGGTTAAATGTAGATGTTGCATTTGGGGTTGCTCCGAACCCTGAACCAGAGGGATAATTATCATTGTGCTGCTTGCTATTGTTATTTGGCAAGTTAGAAGCTGAAACCCAGCCTTCACTTCCTACTTCCTGAGCAACCTTTTTCTTACGGATTTCTTCAGATATGTCTGAAAGTAATGCCCATGTAACAGCTACTGGCACCAAAACTGAACCAGACTTATCATACACAGAAAACTCAATCTCGTTTCCTTTATCAATGTCAATATGAAACTCTTCATTCCACTTACCTGAACGTGAACCACGAGTCTTAGCCCTTTCAACATCATCAATTTTGATAGAAACAGCGGACTCTGGTCTCTTTGAAAATATTGGGGATGCAATATGGTCAATATCCCTGATACAAGTAACACTAATGTTTAATTTACCACTAAACGCCTTTCTGGCGTACTTCGGAGTATTCATAATCTCCATATCCCGAGTCACATCTTCGACGTCAATGTGCATGTCCTGGTACCTTTTTAACGACTTGTTAAGTAATTGGATTCTTTGATCACTCTCTAAGCGGCCAGTATCAGCAACAATACTACTCGATTTATCACCATCTAATCTGTATAAGTGAGAAATCTTTTCGTTGGCCTCTCTATACTGGTTTTCCACCTGTAATTTGAATTGCAACTGTTGCAACATGTACAGAATCCTATGTCCAAGCGAAGGGCAATCGTACTTAATTAAATCAAACCTCGAGTACACAGGTTTTTTACCCGATCCATTTGATTTTTCCTTCATTCGCAGTTCAGCCTCACTTTGTTGTAAAGAAAGTTTAGACAATGTTTCCTGAAGGTAATCTATATTAGACTGTGTCTCTCTAATCTGGTTATTACATCTTTGAATCACCTCGCCATTATCCGTATTTCGTTTCAAAGCTTGAAACCCTTGAATAAGTTTCTTTTCTCTGTCAATTTTACCATTGATGTCATGTAGAACCTGTTGGTTCTTAGGTTCCGTCATTGGCAATTATACGATAACTTAACTCACTCTGATTCAATTCAAAACCACCAGAATGTAGCGGTGTATGCAATAATTGTGTTTTTGTAGCTATGGTCAATTAGATCAATAGATCAATCAAGATCACGATCAGCGTCTATCCCGATAATGCTATAAAACTCGTCCTGAATTGAACGTGTAATTACAGAAAATACTAAATAGATTGTACGACTCAGTAAAGATGTTGCGTTCCTTACCTTTGATTGTCAAATATATCGATTTAACTAAAGCAGTAGATGTTTATTAGAACTCGTTCTAATAAACAATGAACTGTACCTCGATTTGTGTTGACAATTTACTGCTAGGGGGATTAACGCACGTGATATATAATTACCTGATTTGGAAAGTTAAAGGCTATGAATACTATTTACTATTGCAACAACAATTACAGTCAGGAACCGGGCAAACGTAATGCTTTGAGAACCATTCTTCTGCGTGGTATACGTGTGACCCATGGTTGCAGCTCAAGCAAAAACTGAACCATTCTCTAAGGTTATTTTCAATTCTTCCACTGGTAGTATCTTCGTTTGCTCGATCTCTCGAGTCCATAGGAATGGGAGTGCCTAGAGTAAGTAGACAAACAGCACATCTAGGTAATGGAGCACCGCAATGGGGACATGACTTAAAGTTGTGTTTCATCTTCTTAAGATTCATTTTATTAAACTGTTTTAGGAGAGCAGACGGATTATTCGTGTTAGCCCCGGTAGTACCACTCGTCGATGCATTATTTCGGCCCAGACTATTTGTTCTTGGCTTCGATAGGTTCTTGTTACACTTGCTGCATTGTAGATATACTTGTTTTGGAGCTGGCTTGATCGTTAACTGACCAGTATTATTCTTGGAGAGATTTGTACGGGCAACATCGAATTTGGCTCTGGCACTAAACATTCCCCAACTGTTAAGCAAAGATCGATAACAATCGGCCCAGTGATTCACTCTTACATCGCTAAAATATCGTGGGCATCCAAAAGCCGATATTAATGCTGCGGTCTGTGCATCACTAGTTCTATCAACATATGATTGCAACAAATCGATCCCCTTAGGAGTTATACCTGTTAATATTAATCCCTCCAACTCACCTTTGGCAATCACGGTATCAGCAATTCTATTTAAATACACCGTCAAATCTTTGTCCGATAGAAATCGAAGAGCAACCCCTAGCCTTTCTTTCAAAGGTAATGAGTGTTCATCCAAAACATCCCACCAATCATTATCAGCTATAAACGCAAAGATTGCCCTCAAGTAAGGGTCATCTAATTCTGAGGCCATTTTACGGCACTGATCTTTCCACGGACTATTAATATTAGAGGTCTTATAAGCTAAATAACCAGCAACTGCTGTAGACATTAATCTTAACCTTTCCTTTTTAGACGATGCTAATATTTCAATAGCCTTTTCCACATTTCCATGAAAGACTGCCCATCCTGCAGCCTTTTCATATTGACCCCACGAAATCAAGAGACCTAATTTTTCTTCAAATTCAGAATCTGCCAAATACCAACCTGATACTATCAAGCATAGTTTTCTTTGAGCTTTCTTTTCACTGTTACTTGAAATATTTATGCTGGCTGTTTTTTCTCCCTTTGAGGATACTATTGTCTTAACTACGTGAGAGAATAATTGATCTGTTATATGACCCATATCTTTCCGAAACCTGTTTTGATCATTAATTTCAGCAGCACCCTTCCAAATTCCTAATACACCTTGATACCCTAAATCCAAACCTTCAGCTATCATTGTTCCTTTATCAAGTGACTTCTTAGCCAATGTTAGCCATTTCCAGGTGTTTTTTAAAAATACCTGGGTATCCACACCATCGAATTTTTCTAAGACTTTTATATTTTTCTCACAATCAATCCCATAGCCTAATAACGATCTTCTTCTAATCGTGCTACATATGTCATTCATCATAACTTCTGAAGTATAAAGAAAGGTATTTAAAGGAATAAAATCCTCATCTTCTCTGCTGTATCTATTCAAATTCTCTTCTCTTCCATAGTTAGCAACTACGCTATCGTCATCAATAGTAGAGTCGATCTCTTCAGAATAATCTCCTTGATTCATGTCTCGTAATTCATTATTCATCAAAGTTTCGCTATTTTTTTTCATATTCGTATCATCTTGAAGAGTCTCATCACTCAAAAACTTCGTAAGGGTTCCTTCCGGTCCCGCAATTGAGAATTCATTGTATGAATTGAAATCCATAGACTCAATACATTCTTCAACAGGCATTCTAAACACAGAGCCAGACTGTCTCATGCAAACAAAATTTGTTGAAGTATTAGAGGAAATATCTGACGAGTAATCGAAGGAAATTACTCGTTCATAATCAGTTTTAACATCTAATACCATTGACACGAAGAGAGATTCCTCGTTAGCTTTGTATAATTGGGAGGATTGCCTTTTTAACGACTGCAATATGTTATTATCCTTCACAATCTTTGGTTTATTCTCTTGTAGTTCCTTTGATTGAGGTGTTATTCCAGTATGCCATCTTCTAATTAAATCTCCATTGAACACTGCTGAAAATTCACCTCGTCTCACAGTCGAATATCTAACACATGGGCCATGATTTTTCCTCGAGGAATCGCTTAGCAACTTATTAAATTGTAACACCGGTGTTTCAGTGATAACGTTGCTGCTCAGAGAAGTCTTAGATTTCGATGTATTTCCATTCAACTTCCTTCTATCCCAAATTGCCAATGACCCATCTTCACTGAATGACAGGAACAAATGTGACTGGAAATGATCTATTGTAATACCCAAGGTACACTTGGTTGCCATTTGAAAAGTCGGCACATCTGTACGCAAATCCACCTCTCTTAAAAATTTGTAACTGCCAGCTAATAAATTACTATCGTGATCAGGATAAAATGTAGACGATAATATAGCTTCATTAGGGATATATGAATATGTTGGCCGTTTGATGTGGTCATTATTACTATTTTTGGAATAATGCTCTATATTCCAAATTTGCAAACTATTATCTTGTCTACCTTTGTCAAATCCTGCTGCCACCATCCCTTTATTATTAAATGAAAGCGAATTGCATGGTCTACTCTGTTTAGGTCGAAGCTTTAAAATTGATGAATTATTAGACGTTATATCAAATATGCAAACAGTACCATTAATTTGGCCCACACTTGTTAGCCCTACATCGTAATACGAATATGCACTGCATTGAATATTACTGAATCCTGGACGATTATTAACTTTCTTAATATCATTGGATTCACATGACGGATCTTCATGGTTAGTTTGATAAAGAAGTACTTCATCACCAATTGGATTAACAGCGAGAAACCTTTGTTCATATCCAACATCCCAGTTGATGGTCCTTACAATTGATCCACTCATGTATGTTGTATTGATTTACTTAACTAAAATGTAGCTGATAATATAAAATCGAATAGTTATATTTCGATACGCGAACTTACTACGCTCTTTTACTCACTCATTATAAACAATGTATTTAAATAAAATATACAAAACATAGTATATTGCTGTTGATTAGATATGCACATCAGATAATCATACGAATAACATTGCATTGTATTACAATGTTTTAAAATAAATAACTAAAATTTCCGAATTAGCGAACTAAATTATTTTATCACCATTATAGCTTAGGCCTCCACTGAGGACATTCTATTTATATTTTGTTCTTCTTTAGAAACAATAAATTTAACTGTATTGGTTAAATTTTTAAACCCTTTATCAGTACCCTTCAATTTACTTAAATGTAATGATGAGGAATTCTTCAAATTGATAATCTCGATCTTAAACTTCAACCTACGACCACCTGAATATCTTGCTGGAATAACACCACTAATCATGCCAAAGTCTTCATCTATGTCAACTTTACTTACAGATCCTTCAATTTTCTTTAATTCTAACGTATCTTTAATTACACGAGTCAATTCATTAGGTTGTAATGTAGAATCTAAAACATAGAAATTCTTAGTTTCAATATCATCCAGCTTGTCAGGATTGAATTTTCTGATTAATGACTTACGTTTTTCTCCTTTTGGAGCTTTGTTATTGGCTGTCAAAGAATTTATGAATTTCATGAACCAATTAGATTTACTCGAATCATTATAATTATCATTCAGTTTCTGCTGCTTATCAAACTTGGAAGATACCGAGATCCTGGAAAACCTATTATGACCTTGAGACTTTTCGTCGTCCCACTTAAAACCTGGGGCTTTAGGAGCTTCTCTCTTCGGTTTCAATTTATTGAAGATTGAATTATGCCTTTGATTTAGTTCTTCCGGTTTGACTTCGGGCTCCTTTATTTCGTTATTTTCTTCAATCACCGAATTTTTGTCACGAATTTTTGGTAGATTCATTGTACTAAAAATTTGTGTTGAAGCAGTAGATTTTCTCAAATCAGTCTGTGTTTGTAACCTATCAGAATCTTCTAATTGATGGTCATTTTGCTGATTATGATCTTGTTGATGTTGTTCTTGGCCATCTTCCTGATGGTATGCGTGATTATTTTCATGATCGTATTCGTGGTTGTATATCTGTTGGTCTCCATGTTGACTAAGCTGATCATTGATTTTATCTTCATACTCATCACCAAAATCTTTTTGACTATCCGTAATTGTTGGTGCATACTTATTATCATTCAGTTGAATTTCAGATTTGTTTTCATTCATATTGGTATCAGCAATCGACGAAGAATCTAAAATATCAATGTTACTCGATCCATTCGCAGCAAAAGAAAGGTCATTATCTGATTCTGTTGAATTAACCCTATCGTTTTTACGTATGCTTTGACGTACCCGTTTCTCTGAAGAAATTTTGTCATCAGTTTCGCCGATGTTTGTTTCTGATTTTGGTCTTTTATCATTGTATAGTTTGGCATAGTCTTTGTACATCGATTTGATAGAATCTTGAAAGGATTTATCCTCTTTGTCATTTTCTACCAATGTCTCTTTAGAACCTTCCAAATTACCTAAATAACTCGATTTACGTTTATTGTTCTGATCAACATTATTATTCAAAACTCCTTGTTGTTTTGAAATTGTAGTATTTGAAACAGTGGTATTCGCAAGATCTTCCTTCAATATACTGCCATCAGAATTAGCACGACTAAGACTTATAGCATTTTCTTCAAGAGTTGTATTATCTTGTGAATCATCAACAGTATCTGATAAGTTTACAGATATAAAATTAGAATCAAAGTGTGCACTATTTTGCGATACTTTTCTGCTAGTTTTACCTTGATGGTTCTGTACAATACCTAAACCAAGCAAATTTGTGGATGATTTTTTCAATGAACCAGTTTCCAGTTTTAAGTGACTAGTTTGGGTATCTTCTTCTATTATTCTTGATGATCTAGCCTCCTTCTGGCCAATGCTCTTTCTTACAACTGTACCGGATGACGCTAAATTGTTCTGAATTGTAACATCAGGATTATCAAATCTTGAATTTAATAATCCATTGAAGGAAAACCTGGAGAACCTTGGGTTTGGAATTAACCCATTCTTTCTAGTCTCAATTGTTGAAAACGTGTTGTCGTAATCCTTTTCGCAGTTAGGTCTCTTCGGTAAGTCCTTTTGAGCCTTGTTTTCGTCAATGCCATCTAACAATGATCTGTAGCCCACGGAATTCAAAGTAGTTGTTCGTGATATTGCCAGAGGCTGCATTTTCAATGTAGATGTTCTGGAATAATTTGGCTTGGTTATTGACTGATTAGCCTTCTCTTTTTCATTAAATATGTTCATCGAAATATTTTCTTTCTGATCTTCTATCGATTTGTCACTCTTAGAATATAAAGTTTCATTATCTAAGTAATCTGATAAATTTTTCGAACTTGATGTTTTCAAATTCGAATTAAACTTTGTTGATGCTTTCAAAGGAGCAACCTCAATTCCTAATTTCTGTAACACTTTCGAAGTATTATCATTAGTATGAGTGTTTTGTCTTAATGAAACGTATGATGAAGGCGAAGCTAAAGATTTTGCTCTTAATAAGGATTTTGCACCGCCACTACGCTTAGGATCCAATGAAGATGTCGGAGCTGGTTCAGTTACATGTCTCTGTTGCGTGCGATCAGCTATTCCTCTCCTGTTATTATCATTATTAGTTTGGATCTGACTACCAAGTTTTTCCAAAGCTTGTCTCTGTTTCTGTTGCAAAAGTTTGGATTGATCTCTTTTCTTACTTTCAAGTTGCTTTTTATGTTGAAGCTTTGCATCCTCTTCTTCTTGTTGATTCAACTTCAACGCACGCGCGTCATTCTTCTCATGAACCTTTGCTGCTAGGTCTCTCTCGCATTTTTCAATATTGGACAATTTCCCAGTTCTCCCCTCCATTTGTTTCTCTTTTCTAAGATTTTCTTTAGGCTCTACTTTTTGATCTCCTTCATGTTGTTCAGCATTACCAAAAATTTCCTGACAAACGGATTCAAAATTAAATAACGATTTAGTACCAAATGTGCCGTTCAATTTTTGCTGTTTGTAGAGGGAATTAAGTTGTGTTTTCTCAAGGCGTAAATCATTCAAATCAGTCATTCCCGATATCTTACGACTTAATTTGGGTGGCTGTTGTTGAGGGGGACGCTTCCTGAGTGACTTAGAGGAGTTATTTCTTGAAATAACATTATTGTTCATTATTGTTTTCTTCTTATTAAATGAAGTCGACGCCTTGAATGTAGGAGCAGTATTTGTTATATTACCCAACACCTCAGGTTTTTTCTTGGGAGATCTTGATCTGTTCGAAAAATTAGACGTAGAATTAGGTATTTTCCTAATTGTTGTATGCTTTTCGCCGGTTAATTGATCGGTAGTTATAGTTTTAACAATAGAAGTTGATCTTGTAATGGTTTGTTTGGATTCACTGCCAGTTAAATCAGGATCATCCTCGTAATTATTGATGGTATTGTTGGAGACTGTGAGATGTTCATTTCTATACTTCACTAAAAGATAGTAGAATGTTTTCTCAGAGCAATCTTCTGGTGATAACAATTTCGAAATTATTGTTTGTTCGTCACGATTATGGAACAATACAGACAAATTCTTCAAGATTTCTTTGTCAATATTATTTATAGAATCAATGGGCTTGATATTCAAGTCGCTATATTCAGTGACCTTGTCTTTTCTTACTGATGGTTCGGGATATTTAGTTAACAACGGATGTTGCAAAATCGCGTCAATTGTAATCCTTTCGCTGGGGTTCACCTTAAGCATTTTGGAAATTAAATCCTTGGACTCAGATGACAAGTTATTTGGCATTAGAAACTTACCGTTTTGAACCTTGAGCAACAACTTCCTGATGTTTTCATCATCAAACGGCAAGTGGCCTGTCAATAATGCGAATAATATAATTCCACAAGACCAGATGTCGGACGGAGCACCATGATAATTCTTACCGGCTACGATCTCTGGTGATGCGTAATGAGGAGACCCACAAGATGTCTCCAACAATTTCTCACGAACTTCAAGTGCAGCCATACCAAAATCAGCGATCTTGATATTTTTGTTGAAGTCCAACAATAAATTCTCTGGCTTCAAATCCCGATGGCAGATATTGAACTGATGAAGATAGTGTATACCATTAATGATTTGCTTGAAATAGTTGATGGCTTCGAACTCTTGTAACTTGCCCTTCTTTATTAAGTAGTCGAACAATTCACCCCCTTCGATATATTCCAAGATCAAGTATAAATCGTTTTTATTTTCCCACACGTCGTACAACCCCATGATATTGGGGTGCGAGATCAACTTCATGATAATGATTTCTCTTTCGATCCCGTAGGGCAATCTGTCCTTGAGCGATCCCGAACTATCTACCGAGTTTCTCTTGTACTTAGGGTTCTCCAATTTCTTGAAGTTCGACTTGGGGACGATTTTTACCGCCGCCAACTTGCCGCTGTTTATGTTCTTCGCCAACCGAACCCGTCCCGTGGACCCTCTGCCCAACGTGCGGCCGAGTTTCCATGGCCCTATGCGGTTCTGGGTCTTGCGCTTCTTCGCAGAACTATTGGTGTTAGTGGAGATCTGCGAGAGCCTCTTGGTGGCATTCGTCACCGACTGCACCACTTTGTCCATGTTCTCCGTCGACTCGTACTTCGTCGGCGACGGGTTCACAAATTTCCCTAGCGACTGACGCGAATGTTGTTGAACCAATGTCGTCGTCATAGTAGCCTGTCTGTTAGTATCGTCGTTCTCGTCCGTTTCCCGGTCTCTATCCCTATCTCGTCCCATACGTACTATAGATTCGCCGTGTCCTATATATTTCCTGGCTTCCTATACCTCGTGTACCTCAAATACCTGTGATCTCTTCTGTCACTTTAAAACTAATAACGTCCAAAAAAAAGAATGAATAGCAGTTGGTGCTGTGTTGTTGGCTCGTTGTGTCGTACTTGATACTAAAACCTCCTGGTCAATGTATCTGTGGTTCTTGTATCCTTCAAGAAGAGTTACTATCAAAAAAAACTAATCTGAATCTTCTGAAGACGCCTGGTATCCGTTACCAAATTTTCACCGTTTATTATTATTGATAAGCCGTGGCGCCAATTCCACCCTATTATGATTATTACTCCAACTATCGCAATAAAATTCTTTTGAAAATCGTGAATATCGTGAATGCTCTCAATCGCTTCCGTTTTTTGTTATGCAGACACGCTCTGCCCGATCAATTGCCCATTTTTCCCATTATGCCTTTGTTTGTTTGACCGTCTATATTATTGTAAACACTCCTGCCCCCCCAAGCGCCAATTTTTTCGTGTTTGTGTGTCCTGTACATAACCGCGGTCAGATTTGATGGAAATTGCTTATGTAATAAGCAGACAAAAAGAATTTCTAAATCACCCTGATAAAGCGAAGGAATATTTCGGTACTAATAGGGGAATAGCGGACGATATAATTACGGTACAAGATGCTAAAATTCAAGAATAAGTTCAAGTTTGGGTCGTCCAATGGGAACCAGGAACCTACGAGCCCGACGGGGGGCAAGGGATCGCCCAAGACGTCGTCGGAATCGAGGAGAACCATTTCGGGTAATGTGCTCTCGGATAATCTTCTGAAGCTCTCGATAACGGACCAGGAGACCACACATTCAGATCGTTCAGGGTATCAGTCGTCGGTTCAGTCTGGGTCTAAGACGGCGGGTCAATTGCAAGGAACGGACAAGATAACGCAGGCGAGTGTCCAGCCGATGGCTGTGCAGTCGCCTAGACAGGGCCTGGCCCAGGGGGGCCAGGGAAGTGCTGTAATGGCGACGACGGGGAGTTCGTCCAAGTCGACATCGCCGGTGTCAGGGTCGTCGGACACGGAGCAGCCCAACACGACTGTGAGCTCGACACCGGGGTTGTTAACGGTGAAAATATACAATTCGGCGAATTTGCAGTTGCCCATCAAAATCAATAATAATAAGCAGATCTTGCACACGTTGGCGACGAACGCCAACAATGACGTGACGAGCCAGCAGTTGATCAAGAACTTGAATGCGTTAGCGATCAAAGAAGAGGAGGATGAGGGGGGGCATGCACACTTGCCGGGGTCCATTTCCACCAACTTCTTACCGTCGACCATAACGATTCCTAATGGGGAGAATTTGATCAAGGCATTGCTTTACTTGACGGTGGAGTTTGATAATAACGTGTTGGTGATAGAGCCGCAAAAGGGAACGGTGAACCAGTCGGTTTGGAATCAGGTTGTGTCGTTTGATGTGACGAAAAAATCCACCAGCAGCGGCACTGGGTCCAATTTTTTGAATTTAAACTTGTTCATCAGATTGCCCAATATCTTGATTCCTGACTCGGAGAAGTCGTCGCAGGAGAACCTATTTACCAAAAATGAATCGGCCAAAAACTCTAATAACATAGGCGATTTGTTGGTTGGTACAATCAAGTTGCCATTGAATTTAAACTTCCATATAAAGCCAATAAGGTTGATGAACCATGAATACTTGAGGTTTGCCAATTTCAATTTGCCTGATGATACTAAGAAAGCTCTCGGTGAGATCATGTTGACCATAGACTTCAAGCCAATACTAAAGTCCCATTTATCGATTAATGATTTTGACTTATTGAAAGTCATTGGTAAAGGGTCATTTGGTAAGGTGATGCAGGTCGTGAAGAAAGATACAAAACAAATTTATGCATTAAAGACATTACGCAAACAGCATATCATATCCAGAATGGAAGTAACTCATACGTTAGCTGAAAGAACAGTGTTGGCGAGAATTACTAATCCGTTTATTGTGCCATTAAAATTCTCCTTCCAGAGTCCGGAAAAACTTTATCTTGTTCTAAGTTTCATAAATGGGGGAGAGTTGTTCTGGCATTTGCAAAAAGAAGGTAAATTTTCAATGAATAGATCCAGATTTTACATAGCAGAATTATTAACTGCGCTAGAAAGTTTGCATGAATTAAACGTCATCTATAGAGATTTGAAACCAGAAAATATATTACTTGACTACCAAGGGCATATTGCATTGTGTGATTTTGGATTGTGTAAATTGAATATGACCAACAATGACAAAACTAATACGTTCTGTGGAACTCCTGAATATTTGGCTCCTGAGCTCTTATTAAATCAAGGCTACACTAGAAGCGTTGATTGGTGGACTTTAGGGATTTTGCTCTATGAAATGTTAACAGGTTTACCACCTTTTTATGATGATGACGTTCCAACAATGTACAGAAAAATTTTACAAAACGAATTGAAATTCCCCATTTGGTTGGAGAATACAGATGCTCAAGATTTGCTCATTAAGTTGATACAAAAGGATCCTTCGAATAGATTAAATGATGCTCAATTGATAAAGAATCATAGCTTCTTCAAGGATATCGATTGGCAAAAATTATTAAGCAAAAATTACTTACCACCATTTAAACCAAACGTGGAGAATTTACTCGATACGTCTAACTTTGACCAGGATTTTACTAGTGAAAAGCCACAAGATTCAGTTGTTGATGACTTTTTGAGTGAAAGTGTTCAAAAACAATTTGGTGGCTGGACTTATAACGGTGACAATATCTTAAGCTAGCATACACAGAAATACAGAAAAGTTTCTCTTCTCATCATTTAATATAGATATATTATAAATATTCAAATAAATACTTTAAAATAACACACAGAAACAGAAAATAGTTTATAAGGTTGATTGTCAGCGTATTACCTATTGGCAGCGCTATCATATGTGGCTCCGCTTCTACCTGGGAATGCTCCCCCTCCACTTTTCAGCTTGGGATTGACCCTTCCTTCGCTCAAGGGCGCACCATGCTTATAGTAGTCGTGGGGCTTAGGAAAATCACCTTGCTGGATTCTTTGCGCATCTCTCTGAAGATACTGTTGGTATGAAGGATTAAGGTGTTCAGGATTAGCTTGCGTTATATTCACCATTTGTGGCTTAACCTTAATCACATTGGGGTCTTGCATGGGGTCATATTGCCCACCTTGGTACCCTTGTGGTGGGTAACCGTATCCCTGGCCGTGAGGATAATCCTGTGGGTATCCTTGGGGTGCATTATCATATCCAGTCTGCTGTGGTTGTCCACCGTATCCCTGTTGATACCCTTTTTCCTGATCTTTCTCTCCGTACGACGGAATTGTTTGTGGAGGTGCTTGTGAGTCTCCCTCATCATACTCCTGATATGGAGGTGGGGGAACTTCTTGTTCCGGCTGCTTATCCTTTGCGGCTTCTTCTTCTTTTGAGCCACGTATCAATTGCGAGATCTTTTCTTTCATATTGCTTTCTTCAATGGTAGTAATGTCTCGTTCTACTTCCAACAGATATAGCAATCCATACTTAAGGATTGCAAACACCTGGTATCATGTGATGCGAAGATTTGGACCGGTGGTTTTGTGTCATTTCTGTTCATAGTGCTGATTCTCAAGAAATTTTTCACCTTTAGCAGTGATAACCAAGAGTATATAGACCATCAGGACAATAGAAACATGTTCGGGACTAGTAAGAATATATCTGTATCATCGTCTCTCTTGAAGACGTTTATACGTGGAAAGAAAAAGACGAGTTTATCTCCATCGACACAGAAAGTTGTTAATCAATTATCAGCATTATCGGCATCAAGAAAACAACCTAAATTAATAAATCTTTGTAACGAGGATCTTATAAAGCACCAAACTATCACCAATGCATGGAAGGTATACCAACGTAAAAAGTCACAAAAGAAAACAGAGCAATTAAAGCAACAGTACGAAAGTATCTACACTGCCATGGAAGACTTGAAGACGACGAGTCCTGAGTTATTTGAGGTGGCCAATACGCCCGAACCAAAGAAGAGATTCCCCCTTGAGATGAGGGTTCCTAGTGACTACCCTGCAAACAAACCATGGATTTATAACTACTCCCAAAATTAGGTGATCCTATTCGTGTAAATAAATATATTGATATCTGTATGTAAGAATATAAATATTAGACAGTAATAGTATAATTATTGTATAAGCTAGTGTACATAATGGACGTCCTAGTGCAGACGTCACGGTGGTGGGCATTAATCGTCAATAGTCCTGATTTTTCGCTTTCTTCCTGGCGTGCTCTGATTCGAATTGGAGTTGGCCTGTGATGCCGATTGGTTATTCGTGCCAGTTGTATTCGGGGTGTTTCCACCGCCATTCCCGTTATTGGGGTCTACGGAGTCCTCGTAGTCGTCCAAATCCTCATTACGCCCACCGTTCGAGCTGACCCCCTGTCGCTTCATGATGGTCTTGATATAATTCACCGAACTCAAACTAAATATGTGGTCGTCGTCAGTATACGTTATTCTTCTCTTATTCAAACCACCCGTGTTTGTCTTGGTGAAGTTCTGGAATCCTTTCACTATGTTTCCGTATACACTCTCGTTAAAATACTCGTTTTCCTTCTCATAAATGGAATCCTCCAACTTGCTGAGATTCGAGTCCAACTCCTGTTTCTTGAGGATTTGCTGTGTCAACTGGTCCTTGAGAGCCGTGTACTGTTCGATGCTCGGGGCATCCTTCGCCTCCTGACCTTCCTTATCTGTCATGGCTCCAGTGTGCTCTAGTAGGATCTCGTCTCTTTAGAGTGTTGTTTTCAGTAGTAGCGGATTCATAGTGGACGGGACACGATTTGTATACGTTTCGACTCCGAGGGGGGACCTAAATCATTTTTGATCTCTGCCTCCTCGGTCCCTCAACAATGCACATACCACGTAACAACTACGGTTTGTTACTTTTTACAGCTACATTATTACCATTCCTACCAACATTACTTAATTTAAATCACTTTATTTACAGTACTTTCATTACCAACCAACTACTGGTTTCGCCTCTACTTCTTCCTCGTCTAACACTATTCCAAACTGCTACGATTGGCTCTCTTGACTATATTTCATTGGTATTCTACTTCCCTTTAATTTCCCTAATTGCAAAACCACCCCAACAGGCTCACACTTGTCGTCATAGTGTAGCCATCACAACCGCCGAGCGTTACGTCATCCCGGAACTCGCAAAGGACGCCCGGGACACTACCAGGCCGTAGAACAGAACTCCGAGCCCGACGTGTATCGATTGTTGCTCGAATGTACGATAAGTAGTGGAGATTTTTGACCATAACTTACCACTAATTGACTGGAGATGACAGATGGGGGCGTGTGAGTACATGGAATGGTCTGAAGGCCCTTATATACACAAGAATGAGTGATGAAATACGTAGAATATGATAGAAAAGACGTTGGATGCGACAACTTCGGCAGATCGGGAGTGAGTGGTCCACCAACAATAAGTGAAAAATTAATATAAATAGCCAAAGTGCACCAAAATTATTCACAATTGACCAGGTGATAATTGATTTATTTTTCATTTGAATACCAAATAGATTAAATATATATATACAATGGCCGTCACTAAGTTATTTGCTCGTTATGTCTACGATTCTCGTGGTAACCCAACTGTTGAAGTTGACTTAACCACCGACAAGGGATTATTCAGATCCATTGTTCCATCTGGTGCTTCCACTGGTATCCATGAAGCTTTGGAATTGAGAGATGGTGACAAGACTAAATGGTTAGGTAAGGGTGTTACCAAGGCTGTTGCCAATGTTAACGAAATCATTGCTCCAGCTTTCATCAAGGCCAGCCTCGACGTCACCAACCAAAATGCCATTGACGAATTCTTGAACAAGTTGGACGGTACCCCAAACAAGTCCAAGTTAGGTGCCAATGCCATCTTAGGTGTTTCTTTAGCCACTGCCAAGGCTGGTGCTGCTGAAAAGAACGTTCCATTATACCAGCACTTGGCTGATATTTCTGGTTCCAAGCAAGACAAGTATGTCTTACCAGTTCCATTCCAAAACGTCTTGAACGGTGGTTCCCATGCTGGTGGTGCTTTAGCTTTCCAAGAATTCATGATTGTCCCAACTGACGCCCCAACCTTCTCTGAAGCTTTGAGAATGGGTTCTGAAGTCTACCACAACTTGAAGTCCTTGACCAAGAAGAAGTACGGTCAATCAGCCGGTAACGTCGGTGATGAAGGTGGTGTTGCACCAGATATCGGTTCTCCAAGAGAAGCTTTAGACTTGATCATGGATGCGATCGACAAGGCTGGTTACAAGGGTAAGATCGGTATTGCCTTAGATGTTGCCTCTTCTGAATTCTACAAAGATGGTAAGTACGACTTAGACTTCAAGAATCCAAACTCTGACGAATCTAAGTGGTTATCTGGTGAACAATTAGCTTCCTTATACGAAGAATTGATCAACGAATACCCAATTGTTTCTATTGAAGATCCATTTGGTGAAGATGACTGGGATGCTTGGGTTCACTTCTACTCCAGGGTTTCTTCCAAGATCCAAATCGTTGGTGATGACTTGACTGTCACTAACCCATTAAGAATCAAGACCGCCATTGACAAGAAGGCCGCCAACGCTTTGTTATTAAAGGTCAACCAAATTGGTTCTTTAACTGAATCCATCAAGGCTGCTCAAGACTCTTTTGCTGCTACCTGGGGTGTTATGGTTTCCCACAGATCTGGTGAAACCGAAGATACCTTCATTGCTGATTTATCTGTTGGTTTAAGAGCTGGTCAAATTAAGACTGGTGCTCCAGCCAGATCTGAAAGATTAGCCAAGTTAAACCAAATCTTAAGAATCGAAGAAGAATTAGGTGACAAGGCTATCTACGCTGGTAAGAACTTCCACGCTGCTGCTCAATTATAAATCATTTAATGTCCTTATTTATATTTTGATAAAAGTCGTTTATTGAATACACGCTGTTAATAAATTGTTTATTTGTAGATCTATATCCCTATATTTCATTTGCAGCTATTTTATTCATGGCTTCAATTAGCCTTTGAATGGCAATATATGTTTCTGTAAATGTGTTATATAATGGCAATGGTGCCAATCTAATTACATCTGGTCTTCTTTCATCACAGACAATAGCATGATCGCTTAAGTACTTATTGACTTTTTCCATTATATTCTTACTGGATTCCTCATGGTGCGGTTGAAACAATACTGATAATTGACATCCTCTATCTTCTTTGTTAAGTGGACTTAATATTTTGAATCCCAACCTATCGGTGGTTTCATCTTGCTTTATGTAATACTTTGAACTAGTTAATAAAGTTTGTAAAAACCCAGTTAATTCAACACTTTTCTTTCGTAATTCATTGATACCCCCAACTTTCTTGAAAAGTTCCAATGAAGATTTCACGGCGACCACATCGATAACTGACGGGTTTGATTGTCTATATGATAAGGCTGATTTAATAGGATCAAATATTTCCAACATTTTGAATCTGTCAGACGCATTATTTCCCCACCAGCCTGCTAATCTAGGTGTAAATTGTTCAATAGAGTTATCCTTGGTATGTTTTTCGTGGACAAAAATTCCAGCAATCCCACCAGGACCTGAATTTAAATATTTATAAGAACACCAGACAGCAAAATCCACATCCCAGTCGTGTAATTGTAGGGGGACATTACCCACTGCATGAGCCAAATCCCATCCGACAGTAATCCCAAAGCTCTTAGCACATTCAGTGATTTTACCAATATTGAAAAACTGACCAGTGTAATACTGGATTCCCGAGAAACAAACAAGGGCTAATTCGTCTTGGTGTTTTGTTATTGTTTCTATTATATCTTCGGTTTCGATGTAAGTCTTGCCGTCCTTGATTTCAATTTGAATCAAGTGATCTTCATTATAGCCAAATATTTTAGCAGCATTTAAAAATGCATAATAATCAGATGGGAACGCCTGCTTCTCAAAAAGAATCTTTGTTTTTTTACCAGATGGCCTATAAAAACTCATCAACATAGCATTCAAATTACTAGTTAAAGTTCCCATGACAGCCACCTCATTCTCCTTACCCCCAACTATAGGTGCTATCAATGGTAGTAATGGTAAATCGATATCCACCCAGGATGTTAACCCTTTTTCTTCGCCCGGGTGCCTGAAATGAGATTCAACACCTCTTTCACTCCATGCATTCAATTCGTCGTTTATGGCTGTTCTTGTCGTTTTTGGCATCAATCCCAACGAGTTACCACATAAGTAAATTGAATCAGTTGAATCTTCGAATTCGTCATTTTGAATCCCCAATGACTTGAAAGTCGGAATTTCAAACTCTTCCTTATACGTAGGGAAGCATTCGTCTAGCTTTTTAGCTTCTTCTATAGACATTATTTGACTAATGGTCATAATTATGTCCCGATTAAATTTTCCAATGAATTTTATATGTCGCATTCGGCATTAATCTACGATTTGCAACTACCGTCATAGAATGTTTGGGACAATAGACCATTATGAAGTATAGATGTTGTTAAACAGGAGTTTTGAGGAATTATTTGTCAATCTAGTTTTGTTTATAAAGTTATAAGAATTTTTTTTAGTTTTCACAATTACTACAAATAATTCCAAAAATTAAGAAAATTTCTTAAAATACGTCCTAGTCGTATATGATTTTATAATTTTAAAACTAAGTTAACCAAAGAAGTAACATAATATAAGGCTTATACGCTGATTTAAATCCTAATTAGCTTACTGAATTCAAATTGAATCCCAATTACTACTATATGTAATAGATGTAACACTACTAGTCAATTTAAAATTGAATAAGTAATTATGCATGAAATATAATAGAGAAGGATATATGTGTAGAGGAGACATAACTACATGTAAACAACTCTTGATACATGAATATAAATGGGTGATTTGTAGATAATTGTCTATTTGATAACGACGAGAACGTTAGCAGCAATTTTTATTACTGAGTATCGAATCCGAACGGAAATTATATTTAGTGTGCAATAGTGCAATAGTGAAGATAAAGTATATTACAAGAATACACGAATAAAATGATACATTCAGTGATAATATGTATGTATTCTGAAGAGA